CCGAGCAGCATGCCGGGAAGCGCCTCCCAGGGGCCCGCGCGCGAGGCCCCGCCCACCCAGGGTTCCTCCCCCGCCGCATCAGCGCCAGTTCCCGCCCCAGGCCTGTCCCCGCATGTCAGCACGAGGCCCCGCCCCTCGAGACCAGCTCTAGGCTGCCGCCCCCGCTCCCGTCAGCGCAAGGCCCCGCCCCTCGAGTTCAACTCCAGACCCGCCCCCGCTTACGCCAGCACGATGCCCCGCCCCTCAAGTCCCCCGCCAGGTTCCCGCCCCGGCTGACGTGTCAGTGCGAGGCCCCGCCCTAGGCCCGCCCCCGATTACGTCAGCACCACGATGTCCCGCCCCTCGAGTCTTCTGCGAGGCTCCTGCCCCAGCTTACGTCAGCGCAAGGCCCCGCCCCTCGAGTTCAACTCCAGATCCGCGCTTACGTCAGCGCGAGGCCCCGCCCGCGCGGTCCCGCCGCTGCCGGGTCAGTGCACGGGGTGGTCCGCTATGAAGCGGCTGACTCAGTGTCCGGTTGCGTTGGAACAGAAGCAATGGTTCCAAGACGAGAAAGCCATGGGACGGTGGAACGTGCCCACCTGGCCCCGGCGGCTGCCCGAGGACAGGGCTGCAGAGGGCCGGCCAGTGGGCAGCGGCCACGCGGCTGGAGTGGGCATCTGGCCATGGAGACGGACTGGGCAGTCCGGGCAGGAGACCAGGAGGAGGTGTGGGAGGAAGTTTGGTCCTGCTGCTGGGCCTGTTCAGGGACACCTACCACATCTTCTCAGGTTCCAGGAGGAGACCCAGGCCCCAGCCCTCCTGGGATGGAGTGGCTCCCCTGGGATCAGGTGGCTCTCCTGGGATCAGGTGGCTCTCCTGGGATCCAGTGGCTCCCCTGGGATCAGGGGACCCCTCCCCCCGGCTGTTGTGGGAGTATTGGCTGTGCACTCTGCACCAGGCAGGTCTCTCGTGATTGGGAAAGCTGGGTGCCGGAGGCAGGCTTACCCTTACACAGCTTCTAGGCCTCTGCGGGGCTTGGCCTGGCAGGAGAGAGGCCTCTGGTCTTCAGTGCTCCTCATGAAAGACATTCCTTTCAAATGCCTCTGGTCCACCACCTCTCCAGCCCATCGCCCACTGCTGTGCTGGTCTCCTCCAAGCCCCCTCAGCTACGTTCATGATGGAGAGGACCAGGTGCTAGTGGGTCAGACAGATCCACATTGGCAGGAAGAGGCCTGTGTTTGTCTGCACTGTCTGGGGTGTGTTCAAGGCTCTCCCTGAGACCATGCTCTTCCTTGGGAAGGGCCCTGGTACCACATGGTCCTTCTCTGCTCATAGCTGGAGAGAAGGAGGCAAAGGGTGAGGTGGCATTTTATTTTTTTGTCTGTCCTGGGGCTTGAACTCAGGGCCTGAGTGCTGTCCCTGAGCTTTTTTGCTCAAGGCTAGTGCTCTACCACTTCAGCCACAGCTCCACTTCTGGCTGTTCGTAGTTTAGGCTCACAGATTTTCCTGCCCTGCCTCACTTCGAACCTCAGCCTCTTGAGCATCTGGGATTACAGGTATGAGCCACCAGCATCAGGTGAGATGGCATTTGAAGTGGACACACCCTGGTGGCCAGAATTGACCTGGGCAAGGTGGCTGTTGGGGAAGTAAGGTGTCAGAGAGCCTAGTCCTCCCAAGTGGGTAACGGGAGCCATACTGTCTTCTGTCCTTTAGCCTGTCCCCTCTGACCCCCACACAGGGGCTCTGCAGGGTTGTAAGGAGCCAGAAGAAAGGAGCAATAGAGTCCTGGATTGGCAGGGAAACTGAGGCAGGCTGGTGGTGTTGCCCGGGCCTTCCTACATCTAAGGTTGTGTTTGGGAGAACAGTGTGCTCACTCAAGTTCTGCCTCTTACCAGCTGTTCCCAAGTATGCGTTTGCATGGGGGCAGATTCTGCCTGGCACTGGGCAGCCCGGGGTCCGGGGCTGGCCAGCCATGTTGAAAGCCCCTCTGCTCTTCCCAGTGGTGAAGGGGCTTCCTGAGCTGAAAGCACCCCCGCCCCCGCCCCATCTTAGCACTGTCCATGCTGCCAATCGTCTCCCCGTCCCCCTGAACAAGCACATGGGGGTCTTGGAGGAGAGCCCGAGACCAAGGCCACGTCTGGTGCTGGCGGCCCTGGGGACACAGATGCTACCGGAGACCTGGAAACTCCTCGGTCACAGTGGCCTTGCGCTCAGCCCTCCCTCTCACCCCCTCTGCCCTCCTGACTGACTTCCCGTCCTCTGCCCAGTGTGTACTGCGCAGGCCTTACTTGTAAGGGGAGGGGGTGGCGGGCAGAAGAGAGTAGCAAGAGTCCTAGTTTGTGTGCAGCAGGCTTCAGGAAACTTGGTTGTCCTTCCCAGCTTCTCCTCCCGAATGACACCTGTTGGTATGTTGATTTTTGTCTTTCTGCCTTTTCCCCTTTCTTATGGGTACACAGGAGGGTAAGAGGTTGGGGGCTCAGCCTTACCCTATCCAAGGGGCCAGAACGGTCATATCTTCCAGGTGTTTAGCTGCCTGCTTCCAGGAAGGTGGGATGGCTCGCGGGGACAGGAAGCCGAGAACCGCTCTGAGGGGCCGGGCCCCCAGTGCTACTTGCACCCCCAGAATGCTGATAAGTTGGGCACTGGGGGCTCACACCCATAATTCGAGCCACTCGGGATAAGAGCTGAGAATCATGGTTTGAAGCCAGCCAAGAAATGGACGTTTGTGAGACTCTTACCTCCAATTAATCACCAAAAAGCTGACAGCTGAGTCATGGCTCAAGGATACAGTTAGCCTGAGCACGAAGCTCAGGGACAGGCCCCACGCCCCAGGACCAGCACGCAACAAAGAACACTGACGTGGGCTCCCTCCTCAGCGGAGGCCGCTTACGAGTGAGCGCCAAACAGAAAAGGGTGATGTTTTACTCACAGCACGGGCCTCTTCAGACGGGTCTCAGCTGAACCGTCCTAGGCATGGCCAAACAGCAGGGACGTTTTTAGCCCTGGTTCTTTCTACTAGAGTTACCTCATCTATCTGGACCCAGTGCCTCCAGTGGCCACCTCTGCTTTGCTTTTAGCTCAGTGGCTCTCCCTGGACCTTTTGTGGCCAGAAGGACTTGCCTTTGCGGGCTGGGAAACAGAAAAGTGCAGAGGTGAGACCTGGCGGTGAACTTTCTCACAGCTCTGGTGCCTCCATCTCCGAGGCAAGTCCTTGGGTGGACAAGTGGAGCCAGGGCACAGGGACGAGGTGGGCGGGCTGGCTGTGTCCTGTGGGGGGGGGAGTGGTGTCCCAGAGACTGTAGGCTGTCCACAGCTTTGGGTGTCCTTGGGTCCCTGGCCGGCCTTCCCCAGTGGAGCAGGCTACTCGGAGGGCAGCTGGCCGGCTCCAGGTTCCTCTGGGTATACCAGGCTCCCCTGCCCTGGATACGTGGATGTGTGATGTTTGGATGCCAGGCCAGGGAAGGTACCAGGCAGGGTGAGCTTTCTGAGAGAGGGAGTTTCCCACACCTCCCTGTACCTGATGCTTTGACTCCTGGAGGGCCAGGTCTCAGTGTTAGCAAACGGTACTGCATGTAAACCACCCAGGCCACAGGCCCCTCCTCACTGCCTCCACACATGGGGTCATTATCTGCCTGCCCCGTCACCCCACGGCAGGAACCAGGCGATCGGGGCGGCCCCGAGATGAGCCCCACAGGAGCCACGCAGACGGGTCACACCTTCTACTTGCTCCTGGTAGACATGCTGCTCAGTCACCTCTGTCTGTGACACTGTGGAGGGGCTGCTCAGTCACCTCTGTCTGTGGGGACCCTGTGGAGGGGCTGCTCATGTCACCCATTTGTGGGGACACTGTGGAGACACTGCTCAGTCACCTCTGCCTGTGTCCCCACCCTCGTCCTGCAGAATCTGTGAGTAATACTGTCTTCACTGTCAGGTGTCTGGGATGAGGGAGGTAACAGGTAGCACATTTGCCTAGCATGTCCAAGGACTTTTGCTCCACACTTAAAAAATCAATGCCCTTTGTCTTCTGATTTGTCCTCACTATACCTGGACAATAATAAAACACTTAAAAATGGGTAATAAAACATATGTGTGTGTGTTTTTCCTTTTAACAGTACTGGGATTTGAACTTAAGGCCTCAAGCTTGCTACACAGGCTCTTGACTGTTCAGCTATACCTCCCATCCCTTTTTGTACTGGTTATTTTTGAGATAAGGCTCTAGGCCTGGGCTTTGCTTGGGCCATGATGGGCCTATTTTAGGCTTTGTGACTTGACTACGTGGCAGGTGTACACTGTCACACCAGTGTCTTTCGGTTGAGAGGAGTCTCTCGGACTTTTCTGTTGAGTCTGGAACAGAAATCCACCTGATCTCAGCCTCCCACATAGGTAGGGTGACAGGAGAGAGCCCCTGCCAACTGCGTTTGAATGGGTGCCCCCGGTTTAATTCTGGGCTGGCCTGGATGGTAACCCGTTTACACTTTGCACACCGCTGGAATGACAGGCACAAACCACAATGCCCGGCTTAATTGGCTGTGGTGGGGTCTCATGAACTTTTTGTCCAGACTAGCCTTACACTACAGTTCTACCAGGTCTCCTCTTCCTGAGCAGTGAGATTATAGGCATGACCTATGGTGCCTGACACTTTCAGAAGGGACTGGTTGGGGAGATTTCTGGCCCAGATGGGCCCCTTGGACTGCTGAGCCCCATCCCTTTGATTTGTAGCCCCCACGTGTTTCTGGCCCAGCTGCCCCTGCCACCGACTGACAAGAAGCCCTGTTCAGTCTGGCGTTCCTGTCCAGGCATGTGGGCCCCAGGGTCAGCCTTGAGCTGACCCTGAGGCTGAAGCGTCTGAGGCTCTGAGCCCTGAGGCTGAAGCACCTGCCCCGCAACACACGCAGTGGCTCCTGGAAAGCCCTTCTGGATCTCCTGGCAACATACAAACACACTTCTGCAGCCAGGCGACGGTGGCTCATGCCTGTAATCCTAGCTACTCAGGAGGCTGAGATCTGAGGATCACAGTTCAAAGCCAGCCCAGACAGGAAAGTCCAGTAAGCCACTAGGAAACCAGAAGTGGTGCTGTGGCTCAAGTGGTAGAGTGCTCGTCTTGAGCTGAAGAGCTGAGGGACAGAGCCCAGGACCAGAGTTCAGGCCCCATGACCGACAAAAAAAGAAAAAAAACCACAAACATGCTTCTGCTCCAAAGCATTTACCTGGGCGCGGGGCGCGGGGCGGGGGGCGCGGGGCGGGGGGTGGGGCCGTGCCGTGAGCCCGGTGCCCAGGACGCCTGGTGCCCAGGCCCTCGGCCTGCTGAGGCCCCTCCAGGAGGGTTGGTTTTACATTCCTGCCTGGGCACGGCCTGGAACCCAGCACCCCTGCTTCCCCTGGCACTGTGGGTGAGGCCGGGTGCCCCTCTCTGGGCAGCTCCGGATCACTTCCCTGGCACCCCACGGAGAGGGCCTGGGAGGGGGCACCAACGCGAGGGGGCCTGGAAGGAGCACAGGCGGTTATCAGAATAGTATTTATTGATATGCTACCTTGTTAGTACTGCGTCACGTGGTGCCGTGGCTGAGGTAATGGGGCGGGGCCGGCAGGGGCCTGGGCTCCCTGGGAAGCTGGCCTTGGCCAGGTGGCTGGGCTGAGGGTGTGGTTATTGCATTGGACTCCTTCCCGCACGGGCACACTGGCTGGCGCTCACGCTGACTGCTCCCACTGTCTCCCACACAGGCACCACTTACACACTCCAGCTCACGCAGGCTCCGGTTTGCTTCCCTGGTCTCGTTCACACACACACTCTCACAGACTTGCGCCCACATCTGCATGAGTTTGCCTGCACACTGGCATCCTTGCTCAAGCACACTCCTGTTTGTACACGCACGCGCACACATGCATCCTCCCCACGCACGCTAACACTGCTTCTCTGCTCTGACGCACCCCACACTCCATTCTTCGCTTTAAACTCATCTGAGATCTGACAATAAACACGTTTCATCAGTTACAGTAATCATAGTAAAATAAAGGGTATGTCGGGCTGCAGGGGAAAGTGCATGTTGTCTGGGACCTCGGCCCCCACCTGTGGCAGGCAGCGGGTCCCTTCAGGGTTGAGCCCCTGAGCCAGTGACCCCTGGGGCCCTGCGGCCCAGTGTCCTCGTGTGCCCTGGACTGGGCACAATGAGGTTGCTGAGCTCTCCTGCCCCAGCCTTGGCCCACAACAAAAATCCACTAAAAAAATAAACTCTTCATTTTACAGCCCAGCACCGGGGAGGAGGGCCTGACGCTGGGGGCGGGGCGGTGCCCACCTCAGGCCCCGCCCCGGCCTGCACCTGTGGACACCACGCCGGGCTGGGTGCGGGGTGCTGGGCCTGGGGCATGCGGGTGGGAGGCTGGATGGACGGTGCCAGGGGAGCCAAGGCCCCATCCTGGGCTCATGTGGAGGGCCCCTCAGAACTCCACAGTACTCACGACGGTTCTTGGCTCCTCGAAGGTGGCGATGAGGATCTGCTGGGGTGAGGGGATGGCGAGGAGGTCGCCCATGTCCGGGGGGGCACGGGGGGGGCCTTCCTCCTCCTCCCGGGCCTCGTACAGCGTGCTGATGTGGAGCAAGGGATGAGTAGCATTGCGGCTCAGGATGGTGAGAGGGTCGGCCTTGCCCAGGTTGCTTGGTGACAAGGGGGCTGCAGCGGGGGCTGCCGGGGGGGAGCAGACATGAAATGGGCCTCCGGGGGGAAGCCCTGTCCGAGCAGGATCTGTGGGGTATGGGATTTCCTTCTCTGGGAGCGGAGCATCTGCAGATAGACAAGAGACACGGGGGTCTCACCGTCCAGCCGAACCTGCGACTGTGCCCTGGTGCCCGCCAAGGCCCCGCTGAGGCCCACAGCCCCCTCTTCCCCTGCGGCCTCTCCTGTCAGCAGGCCAGACCCTGCCACCTCTGCACAGCATCTTGTGTGGCGTTTCACTGCCTAAGATTAGCAGTCCTGCTTGCTGAGTTTCTTCCCAGAGGCTCCCACCTGCCTGAGGCCCTTACCAGACACAAAGCTGCAGGCCCTTTCCTCCCGCAGCCCCCTTCCTTCCCCTTGAGAGGTTGTCCAGGCTCCTGCTGGGCCTGCAGCTTGCCTTTACACAGACATACCAATGCTTGCCTGGCTCTGGCCTCGGCAGGACCCCCCGGACCCCGCAGCCCAGCCCCCCTGCCCGGGGCTCCCCAGGGGCCCGCCCCACCTCCCCGCCTGCCAGTGCCACTCCCCTACCTTTGGTGGGTGCTGTCGCCAGCCCCAGCCCACACTCCTCTGTCTGCGATAGGAAGCCACCCCCCTGGCTCCGGGAGGCGGGCAGGGCTGCGGGCACCGGCTCGGGCTTGGCCTTCTTGGTGCCCAGGATGTAGGGGTGCACATCCAGGGAGAAGTGCCGGGCATGCTTCTTGTCGGAGGTAGGGGGTGGGGCCGCCTCACCCCCTCCTCCCTTGTAGTGGTGGGCGGCGCGCGCGCCAGCGTCCAACAGCGGGGCAATTAGCGTGTCCGTGGCCGTCTTCCTGCGCACGGGCTTCGGCTTCTCCGCCTTGCTGTTCTCGATGCGCATGATGGCCAGCGGCTCCTTGAAGGGCTGTGGTAGGGGGTTGCTGGTGGGGATCCACTTCATCTTCTTCCGGGGTCGCTTGACCACAGGCGGCTCACTGGAGCCGTCGGCCTCGGCAGGGTTGGCGCTGGGGTCGACGGTCTGGATGCCAGAGTCGCGCACCGTGGGCGTGGCGTCGTGGTTGGACTGGGCCAGGGCGGCCAGCAGCTGCCGTACCACGTTGTCGTACATGAGGTCGCTCTCGTTGGTGATGAAGTCCAGCCGGTTGAGCGACTTGATGTGGTCGCGGTTCTCGTTGCAGAACATGGCCAGGATGTTGATGTCACAGAACTGGGAGCGGCGCCACTGCCGGCGGGTCTTGATGCCCACCTTGTGCAGCTTGTCGAAGATGAAGTTGCTCTTGCGGAAGATGAAGAGGTGGATGAGGTTGACGAGGATGATCAGGTTCATGAAGCAGAGCAGGACAATGTCCACGCCCGCGATGATCCGCTGCAGCTGCACGGAGGGCAGCTTGCAGTTGACGCGCACCACGGGGCCCCCGCCACTGGCCGGGCCGTCGGGCGAGGCACCCAGGGCACACGTGAACTCGTTCTGCTTCTGGGTGGCATAGTAGGTGCACAGGTAGGAGATGGGCACCACGCTGAGCAGGAGAATGAGCACGTGCCGCGCCAGGTACAGCTTGGCCAGGAAGTTGCTGCGGCCACGGCGCTCCAGGTACTTCTCGAACAGGTTCTGCTCGGGACTCTTGTCCTTCTCAGCGTTCTCGATGATCTCCCGCTTCTCGCGCTCGGTGATGCCAGGGCCTTTGGACTGGATCTGCTTTTCGATCTTGGGAGCGCGGCCCTCGGCTGCCCGGTGGTAGCAGTTGTCGATCTCCTGCAGCAGGAAGTTGAGCTCAGAGGTGAGGCGTGTGGAGGCCAGGAACTCCCAGCCCAGTGCGGGCACGTACATGATGGCAGCAAAGGCCAGCAGGGCGTAGGGCAGGAACTTGTGCTCAAACAGCGATGGCCACAGGCTGGCGTCCACCCCAGGCAGCGCGTCCCGCAGCTCCGTCCAGCAGTAGCCACGGGCATACAATGCCTGGTCGCGGGTGAAGTTGTGCGGGGTGTAACAGTAAATGGGTTCCTCTGGGGGCAGAGAGGAAACATGGGCTGGGGCGAGAGGTGGGACTGGCCTGGGAAGCCAGGGCTTGGGGCTGGACCTGGTAGCGTTACTGCTCAGGTCCCTCCCTGGTGCTGGCCCTTTGCTGCCTGCTTTGGGCAGGGGCTGCTGTTCCCCACTCCTCCCATGTCCTAGCTACAGTGGTGTGTGTGTGGCCTTGTTCTGAGAAGCCCACAAGGAGTTCTGCCTGTCTGATTGTGCTGGCCTCAGGTGTCCAAATGCCTCAAAGACTGTGCACACAAGGAGACCAGGTTCCAAAGAGGACCAAGACAGCCCACACCACCAGCCAGGCCCAGCCCGTGCATCCCGACTGTACCCAAACCCAGGTCCCCGCCTTCGGCCTGGTGCTGCCAGGAGCTCACCTTTGAACAGGGCAGGTAGCACAGCCTCCGGCCTGGCGCCGCCAGGAGCGCATCTTTGAGCAGGGCAGGTGGCACGGATGCACCTATCTGGCAAGAGGCTGTCACGGAAGCCCAGCTTCTAGAAAAATCTGTCCGTGCCAGGTAAAGGTTGTCTTAAGATCCCCCTTTCCAGGTCCTAGGGAAGGGGGGCCTGGGAGCCTGGAGCCTGGTGGGCAGTCACAGAAACCTCACCGGCCGGACATAAGTATCTTGCCACCGAGACAGAACACGGGGCTGTCCCGTGCTGCTGAATAATGGCAGGCCGACTTGTGCCTGCCACGTGGATGGCTCATCCTACAGCAAAGGACACTGCGGACACTTGCACCAGGCCACGTAGCCTGTGCCAGGATCTTACATGTTAATCCTTCTTGAGAGTACAACTGGGAGGCTCAGAGCCTGGCAGGACAGGTCGGCCACCCCAGCACTCAACTGGGTGCCACTCAGCACACAACAGGCTCGTTCCTCACTTATCTGTCACCCCCAGGCCAAGTCTGCCCAGAGCCTCCCCTGCTCCAGCTCCTTCACCCCACGGAGTTCCAGATCAGGAAGCAACAAGGCTGGCTGTGCCAGAGACAGGAAGCCCACCACCTCTCGCGGCTGGTCTGGGCTAGGCAGAGGCCTAGGAGCACACAACCCGCTGCACAGATACCCGCTGCCTCCAGGTGCTCTTCACTGAGCTAATGCAGGCCGTGGGCCGCCACACCAGCCCCTGGGTACCCCCACCACTACTCAGCTCCACCTGAGGAAGGCCCCCATCCTACCAAAGTGGCCCAGCCACAGCAGAGCCCAGTAGCAGGCCCAGATGGTCGTGGGGAGCAGGGAGGACTCTAGAAGCATGCCTTGCATAGATGGAGCTGAAGCTGGGGCTTCTCGAAGCTCCCCCACATCCACATGAGCAGGGGTGAACCCCAACCCAAGGACAGAGGTCTCAGAGAGGCTGAGGCCCTATGAGCAGGATGTGAACCCCGAGCTGTGGACAGAGGTCTCAGAGTCCTTCAGGCAACACGCCCAGGACCAACAACAAGCTGGGCTCCACAAAGGAATCAGCTCTGAGCTGGAAAAAATGGCATTCATTCACTTATTTTTTGTCCTTACAGCGCATCCCAGGAGCTCCCTTCCTCTGGGATTTGTCTCGGCACGGAGCCTGTCTCCATAGCAGATAAGCTGGGTTTGTGGCAAAGGTCAGGAGAGGCACCTGGAACACTGGTCCTGTTGGGGCTCTCAGGTTGGAGGAGAATGGGGGCCTCTGGTACCCCACATGCCTGGTGCTGCCCGGGAGCAGTGTGGAGAGCCTGGCACCCTCTCCCTGCTGGGCAGCACCAGGGAGAGGAGAGGAGTACTGCAGCTGCCCTGTCCCAGCTTCCTTGCTTGCTGTGGCCCTTAGAGCCACTACGAGAGAAAGGGCCGGACCCCAGGCCCTGGGGACACACCCAGGAGAGCCACTCTCCTTCGGTCAGACCGCAGAGACTGGCAGCACTCACAGAGCACAGCAGGCACCAGAGGACCCAGAAAGGGGGTGCAGGCAAGTGAGAGGCAGGTGCAGGCAGGTGAGAGGCAGGTGAGAGGCAGGTGCAGGCAGGTGAGAGGTAGGGCAGGCAGGTGCAGGCAGGTGAGAGGCAGGTGCAGGCAGGTGAGAGGCAGGTGCAGGCAGGTGAGAGGCAGGGGCAGGCAGGTGCAGGCAGGTGCAGGCAGGTGCAGGCAGGTGAGAGGCAGTGTGGGGCGGGGGAGAGGCAGGTGCAGGCAGGTGCGGGCAGGTGAGAGGCAGTGTGATGCGGGGGAGAGGCAGGTGCAGGCAGGTGAGAGGCAGGTGCAGGCAGGTGCGGGCAGGTGAGAGGCAGTATGGGGCGGGGGAGAGGCAGGTGCAGGCAGGTGCGGGCAGGTGAGAGGCAGTGTGGGGTGGGGGAGAGGCAGGTGCAGGCAGGTGCAGGCAGGTGCGGGCAGGTGAGCGGCAGTGTGGGGCAGGGGAGAGGCAGGTGCAGGCAGGTGCAGGCAGGTGAGAGGCAGGTGCAGGCAGGTGAGAGGCAGTGTGGGGCAGGGGAGAGGCAGGTGCAGGCAGGTGCGGGCAGGTGAGAGGCAGTGTGGGGCGGGGGAGAGGCAGGTGCAGGCAGGTGAGAGGCAGTGTGCGGCGGGGGAGAGGCAGGTGCAGGCAGTGTGGGGCGGGGGAGAGGCTGGGGGGTATTGCTGTGGGTCTGGGTGCTGATTCTGGTGTTGGATGGCACCCCGAGGACCTAGGCACTGCATGCGTAACACACACATAGTGGCTGCATAGCAGCTGCCCCAGACGGAGGGATCTGCCAGCCATGTTGTCTGGGCTAGCACAGCCACCCAAGAGGGGAGGCAGGAAGGCCTGGTCTTCCTCTTAGGAGGCCTTCCCACAGAGGACAGCACCGTGGGCCGAATGGCTGGGTGCCCTGTCACTCACAAGAGGGCACAGAGGGGCTTCTGGGCCAGTACCTGCCCAGCCTGTCCACACGGGGGCCTCAGAGGCCTGGAGTTCCCGGGCACTGCAGACCAGCCACAGGGGAGAGGAATACTACATCCTCAGTGTGTGTGAGCACACCACAGGAATCTGGAATGCTGTCCCTGGCAGGCTGAAGCCTATCCTTGGTCAGCATCCCCATACCCGGCCACATCAGCCCTGAGCATGTCCCTGCTACCACGTGTCCACTGGCCACCACCTCACCCCTGAGTCCAGCCTGCAGCCCACAGGACCTCCATGCTGGCATCTTCCAGCCCGCTTCTGCTCCTGCTGCTTGGAGAGGAAACACCTTTCAAGGGTTTCCAGTTCCTCTGGCCACAGCCCTCTCACCCCAGGGAGGTCCAAGCCCTTCCTTGAAGGGGCAGCAGCAGTTAATGGCATGACAGCCCCGAAAGATGTCCACATTCTGACTCCCAGAACCAGCCTCATGTGACAAAAGGGACTGTGTACCTGGGATGAGGGTGAAGGCTGAGTGAGGGAAGATTCCAGGATACCTGGGCAGGCTCCAGAGGGAGGGAGGACAGCAAAGGCCTGAGACAAAAGATGGAGTATCTCCAGACTTCCCGGGACTCCAGAGAGAATAGCTCTGCGTCCACCTTGGTGTCACCATATCTATCTCACTTCAGATGTTGGCTTTTTTTTTTTTTTTTTTTGGTGGTGGTGGAGCTTGAACTCAGGGCCTGGGTATCGTCTGTGAGCTTTTTTTGCTCAAGGCTAGTGCTCTACCACTTTGAGCCACAGCTCTACGTCTGGTTTTTGAGTGGCTAATTGGAGAACAGAGTCTCAAGGGGACTTTTCAGCCGAGCTGGCTTTGAACTGCAGTACTCAGATCTCAGCCTCCTGAGTAGCTAGGGTTACAGACATGAGCCACTGGGGCCTGGCTCATTTCTGACTCTTGACCCACAGACTTTTAAGACCATTTTTGGGGGTAGGGTTTGGGTCTTAGAACCAGGGCGCACTAGGAAGTGCTTACCCCTCAGCTGCACACCAGCTACCTGTGCTGATTTAAGACACCAAGTTGTGCTAATCTATTCCTGCAGGGTGCGCAGATGGCAGGGGTGCTGGCTTCAGGTTGCTCTGCTGGGGAGGAGAGGCATGTCCTATTCCAGTACTTCCCACTGCGCTATCAAGGCACACCCGGAGTCCAGGGGGGCCACAGCAGAGCGCCCACCTGGGAGGAGAGGGCAGGCGGGTCAGCAGCTCACAGGACAGGCCTGACTCTGGGGATGCTGAGACACCCCAGGGAGGGGGGCGGCTGAGGTCTGCAGGCCTCACCACATGCAGTGGCACAACACACGATCACTTTTTCTTTCTGAGGAGGAAAGTCAGAGGGGCACACACAGGAGACACTCACTCCTCACACCTGGAGGGGTGCACGCACACAGATGACACCCAGGAACTCCGACTTGGACCCAGCTTCCTGGCTATTTTAGGAAAATGAGGTTGTGGGCCTCCCATCAGGGCCTGGGCCAGCCTTTGTCTTTTCCTGCCTCTGGCCATTCCAGACCAGCCAAGGCTGCCAGGGCCTGAGCAGCTCCCCTGCAGCTGGGCTCCAGGCAGGAGGTGGGAGATGCTTTCCAAGTCTACCTCTTTCCACATGGGGCTCTGCCAGGCAGGGACCAGTGATGCCCCAGGACAGCAGATCTCCTGTACCACAGGAAGGGGCCCTCCTGAGAGCATATGGTCCTGGGGCCCCAGGGCTGAGGCTGGTGGGGGCTGGGAGCAGGCCAGCACCGACTAGTCCTCTCCTCTCAGGACAGAGGTGCTCAGGGCGGGTCTGCTCACTGGGTCCACAGGCAATCTACCCTTTGCCAGAAAGGGCCACCCCCTCTCCGGTGAGAGATGGGGCTTTGCAAAACTGAGGATGGGGACTGAGGCGGCTCTGCCATCCTGCCCAGCATCCCTAATGCTTGCCTCCTGGGCTGGGGCCTGCGCAGGTAGATGCAGGTGGGGAGACTGGGAATGGGCACCCAGGTGGCCCTGGCACAGCTCTGCTCTCAGCATGTCCACTACTTGGCAGAGGAGCTGCAACACCTCCTGGCTAGTGTTTTACACCTAACACTGCTGGCCAGGCACACCTGTCTCTGGGACCCCAGGTAAGTACATGTG